ATAGAGGGAAAAACAACTCCAATTACGAGCACCGTTCCTTTGATTCCACGCGTCAGCGGTGACAGACAAATTACTGTCCGCGCGTGAAATAGCACGCATGCGACACTCTGTGTGTGTGTGTGTGCGTGTGTGTGTGTGTGTATGCGCGCGCGCGAGCACATGGAAATCGACTAACTCTGGCCGGAATAACTGGAAAAGAAGGAGCGTCCCCGCGAGATCGACGCTGCTCGTTATGTAACTGCTCGTCAGAAATTGAGTTGTAGTGAACTGTGAACTGACCTTATTTCGCGTCGCGCCGTTTTCGTCCTCGTTTCGCGTCGATCGAGCCACGCCATGCGCGTATATGTGTATGTACGCCCATCTCTGTACGCTGATCGCGATAGAAAATAGAAGATAGAACCACGACTGACCTCTTCGAAATGTGAATTCTTTCTCTCTCTCTCTTTCTCTCTCTATCCTTTATCTGTGTTTTCAGGTTAAAACGAACACGCGCGGAGGAACGTTCGGTGAATTTTATTGTACCGCCGGCGAATTGAAATATTCACGGAATAGCGGAACTCGAAGTAAGTTCGACTTTGAGGATGAGCTTCGAGGATTTCCCTGTGGGCGGGGCCAGTCGGGTTAAGGACCAGAAATTTGTCGGATAAATGCCGTGAGTTTTTCCTCACCATCTGTCAAAATTGATTTGAATTCATTTGTGTGATAAACACTGCTCCGAGCCAAAGTTTGTCATGTCGTTTTTTAATAAATAAATTCAAGCTCGAGAGAGGTAGAAATGTCGAAGGATTTCTAAATATTAAACAATTTCTAGAAATGTTATCTGAGGCTGGTTGGAACAGTACTCTCTTGAAACGCAAGAGTTTCCTTCGATTTATAAACTTTTCATTGGTCATCGCGTTGAATTTTAGACGAGATAGAAGCCTCTTGTCAACGAAATTTTACTCCGCGAGTTCAACGCGTTCAGCGACACAATGAACCTCGCCATATTTTCAAATTGCTGTCGTACGCTCTCGCTCAAAAAAAAAAAAAAAACAAAAAAAAAAGTGTAATATCACGTTGCAAACAGGTATTAAAAGGGAAACTGTACGAGATAGCGGAGACAGTGAACTTTCATCATCAAAATCGCCGGAAATTTGAAATGGGTTGAAGGATGAAACGCAGCAGCCCCTCCCGTTCTAGCACCTTAATTTACCCTTTGATTCGAGACAGGGAAAAAGTGAAGTCGGCTGGGAACGACAGGCAACTCGTTCGACAAGAGCAAAGGAACAACTTTTTCAATTATATTCCCTCGGATCGATAGAGCGATTCATTCCCGAGCGATGATTCCCAGATTATCCGAAGGATTATCCGTCCTCCTCTCGCGCCTTACCCTCCCACTATTTTCCTTCCGTGCGTTTCTTTTAAGGAAAT